TGAAGACAGAAGTCCAAAGAAGATTGTTGGCTGTTTCTCCATTTATAAAATCTACTAGAAGGATTTTTTTTTCCCATAATGTAAGCCTTTGCCGCAGGGTATGCCGTTTGTTTCTGGTGGCTTTGTAACGTAGCTAGGCTTCACACAAGAGAAAGGCTCCAGGGCCTTTTGCAGTTTCAGCACTTTTCCCCTCTGTTCTCCAACATTTACTTTTATTCAGGCCAGGAATTCACTTTGGATAGTCCTTCTGCACATCTTGCCACTGGCTCTAATTAATAACCTGCTTCTAGAAATTCCACTCATTGTCTTTTTCTTTTTTTTTTTTTTTTTTCTTTATTTAAGATGCTGTTCAGGATAATTACTGTCTTTAAAGTTTTATGAATCATAGTGTTTGACATCTTTGATGTTGATTGATTTCCAGAAAAATGCACTTTTTGTTCTAATGTTCAATTTGTCACTGTTACTTACAAACAAGAGATTTAAGACCCCAAAGATGCAGATGTTCTTTAGTGTTGTTGCCATCTGTTTTCCTGCCTACTGGATTCTAAGACTAACCTTTGTGCATTTTAATGAAGCGAAATTTATATCATATATAAGATACAGTAGAATAGAAAATAGATACAACAGAAAATATTTAATATAAGTTGATTTTTAAATCACGTGTTCATAGAATGATATTTTTATTTATTTCCATGATAAATTTGTCTTTAACTAGAGGGTTTGAAAAACCTGCTGTTTTGCTCAGTTGTACATAAATCGCAGATCAGAAAACTGAGATTTCCGTGGAAGTGTCCTAAGAAATGTGTATGATATGACCTTAATTTACTTCACAAATTTTGCATTGTGGCATTTACACAGCATTCTTCCTGGATGTCAGAAAGCCATACACTTACTTGCACTCATTGAAATTGTACATCACATATTTGAATTCTTGATGTAGTTTGGCAGAAACCTGATTTTTCCCTCTGAATTATTTTTTAGAACCAGTTTATTGAAAAGGGCTGATATTCTAGGATTTCTGTAAAATAAAAGCCTGTCTGATTCATTGAAGTCCTATTGGATTACTTACCCATTTATCTACATAATTTCTGTGTTTAAATCTTTGTGATATTTTTTGGTAGTATTTCCTCAACAGGTGACAGATTGAACTGCCCACCTTCTAGTTGGCAATTATTTAAATCTCTAACTCAGGAAAACACAAGTAACCAAGATTTTACAGGCACTTCTTTCTGTTAAAAAGAATGTATTTCAGGCGGAAGCGTTGGTATCTGTTACAGCTTGTGAGATTACAAAGCAGTAAGTGCTAATTAGACCTTTATTTGTGTTCAAAAAGAAATATGCAGTCCTAAGTGCCTTCATCTGCACTCTAACAAAGTTTATAGTAAACGCTGCTAATCCAGTGCGCTTAGAAGTGATATTTTCGGAGATAAGATTTCAGATACTCATGGCTGCTCATCTGTTACAAGTAGATTAGCCATATTTTTGGAATGTAAGGCTTGCTCATGCTGCATTCCCCTTCTCACAGCAGTTAAATTTATCTTGTCTTCATGTCTCATCTCCCTGAAATATTTAGCGTTCTTTGTCTTCAGTATAGTATCTCTTGTCTGAAGTCATTTTAGTACCTCCAGTTTACCACACACTCCTGCAGGGTTGAGGCAAATCCTCGCTTGGTGTCAATCAGTCGAGCTGTCTTCTTAGGACTTTAAGTCTGTGTAGAATCCTTATTTCTGTTTACCTACGCACTGACTGGCCTTTTCTTTGATGATTTTCTCTCTTCCATCCATTTTTTCTAATCCACCGACTACCCAGCCTGCCCACCCATATGTCTTATTATATTAATTCACACTCTACATCCAGCTCACAGCATTTGAGCACATCAGGGACTCATTTCAGACAGATATTCTTAAATATTTTTTTACACAAAAGAGACTGTCTTCTTTTTGTAGCAACCCAGTCTCAAAAAGGTTTTGGGCCATTATGTGCTTTGCCCAGCCTCTCAGAGGCCAATAATCATGATCTATGATGGTCCAAGGAATCTGCAACAGAGTAGGCAGGTATGATGCAAAGCTGATGAGTTCATGCCTGAAGGAAAGGAGAATAATTGCATGTTCTCCAGCCCCGGAAGCCTCAAGACATGTCAAAGACTGACCTAATAATGCACCAAAAAAATAGTGTTAGGAAGGAAGGGGTGCACTTTCTTCAAAAAGTGGAGATTTCCAGAGCTTAATAAGACAATCACTACTTGACAATCCAGGAGCAAAGATATGCCTATACTATTTACAGGTTTTGAACCACCTTGGCCTGAGCAAAGCTAATTCTACCTGTAGATAAAATCATCATGGCCTGTGTCAAATCCTGTGCTTCCTCAGTCAGTGAATCCTGGGCACATAGTGGGAAAGCAAAGACGCTACATTATTCAGAGATGACATAAAGAATGGAAGAGTATTATGTGGCTGCTAAAAAAAAAAAAAACAAAACCACACAAAAAAACCCCCAAAAAAACCCACAAACAAACCAAAACAAACAACCCCCCCCAAACAAAAAAATCCTCCTAACAAAATGTACATTTTGTTTCATTCAACCACGTCAGTAGGAAGAAGTATGGTGGAGGGTATGTCAGCATATTAGATGTGCAACTGTCTAAATCACTGAGAGGTTTTTTCAGTCTGCATTTCTGCACCATAAATTTTTCACTGTCCAGCCTCAGAAGGACTCGGTAGATGATGGAGTCCCGGCTTGTCATTGAATTCCCCTGGCTCTTTTATAAACTTTACAGTGTTATTGGCAACTTCTGGGTATGTGAGGCAGACCTAGTGAATGTCTGTTCTAATGTCTCTTAAATTGAAGTAATATGGTTAATATTCTGTTCTGGCTTGAGAGTGAGGAAATATGGATAAATCTTAAATCCAATGGAATCTTATACTTTAAAGTACATAGCACTTGCTAACACTGCTTCCTTTGAGCACAGTATTTGGTTCACACTACTCTTTAGGAACTCAGTAGACCCCCTGATATGTTTAAAATAAGCATTTGCGAAAATGCTCTGTTGGATCTTGACTTAAGGGTGGTAAAACGCAAGTACATATTTTCCCATCTCTTGCAGAAGCTGAACACCTACAATGACAGGAGCAGGAGTTAGACAAGGGTGATTGTTCCATTCCAGCCCCACCATATCGCTTTCTCTGCCCTTTCTGATCCTAGCCAGGCAGTTAGAGACGTCTCGGGGTCCTGTGATGCTACATCACATCCACAAGAAATCAAAGTGGAAGCCCTGCAACGTGAGAATTGCTTAGCTAATCCAAATTGCCAGAGGAAGGAAAAGCTTAATGCTTCTTGCTTTTTAAGATTCTTTGTTGTATCTTTGTAATTGTTTGGTTTTAATTATGCCACAGAGTTTATCTGCCATGCCTTTGAACAGAACACACACATGCAGAGCTTCTTTTTCCTATTGGCTTCAGGCTGCTAATTTTGACACCTTTGTAATAAATCTGTTGGCTAGATGCAAAGCTTCAGGCTTGGCAGGACCTCAGGAAATCAAAAGAGGAGGTAGCAATTCTTGTAAGAACAGGAGTTCCAAAGGCGACAGATTAACAGGAATCATTTCCAACTGAGCTAACCTATTTAAAAGTAGCAAGTACATGAAAAGGGAAAACAGTTAAGAGTGTATTACCAGAGAAGTGTTAGTCCTTGTGAAGTGAATTTCAGCACTTAAAACCATCTTTCTGAATGCCTGTAACACTTACGATACAGCCCTGAAGGGCCAAATACAATCTATGGAAATACCACATAATTTCCACCACCCAGTGTTTCCTACTGGCTGGTGCTATACTTTCAGAGTTGCAAAGCCAATTAACAAAATAAGTCATTTCTCCAAAGGAGGGAATGAATACTTATGACCAAATTTGTGGTGCTTACATTTACAGCACAGATCCCTTAAGCTTCAGAGTTTATAAATGAAAATAAGTAGGCACCTTCATGGGGCAATTCCAAACCTACAGCTGGGAGACTGCTGTTAGTGATAGCATTTCTATTAAGTGTATGAATTCCGGGTTCCTGCTGGAATGTCATTGCCCTTACGGTTTTCAGTATGAAAAAAAATGAGGCTTAAATAGCACTGCAGAACCTGAATAGATCTGTTATTTGGGGCCAAAGGGGACAGATAAATGTAATTCATTAGATTTTTCATGTACTCAATGGCAGGAGGTAAACTGCTAGTTCCAACTGCTTAAAATTTAAACTTTCTTCTAAGATCCACTGTCCCCACACCTCTCTACTGATCCAAGTCACTAGAAGGACACCTACCCTTCAGAAGGGTAATTCAAATTTCAAGTGACCCTTTATAGAGTTTTTTCTTTCTCCAGTGACTAAAGAAAATTTGGGCAAGTGTGCTCCTGTATTGGAAAACCATAGTAAAAGAAATGAAAAATTAATCCCTTTTTGTGCAGGATAGACTGATATTTCCATAACAATGGTTATTAAAATAATATGACTGGTTTACCCTGGAATGTGTGTATCTCTGTACTACGTACACAAAACAAACAGTGCAGTATTTACATTGCAAGAACTGCTGATGAATATAGTTTTTCTTTTTTGATAAAACAAAGTGTTCTGCATTTTTATTGTGTTTGTAAAGAATTCTGGAAGAGCAACTGATTGCAAAAATTAGCATCACAGGGAACAAGAAGTCACGTGATATAGACACACATTTTCACAGCATTCCAGCTGTAGAGCTGGTGAGAGAACTTTGCAAACAGATTTGGGTATAATAAGGAAATTTGAGTTGCCCACTCTCTAAGCTGAAAAGTGACTACAGGAGCTACTTATGAAAAGGCTGTCCTACACTGTTTGGGGGGGGAACCAATTAAAAAAAAGTTGTGGTAAGATCAAACTGTGGAATCAGGCTGAAGAAGCACAGTCAATACTGTGCTACCAGCAAATATTGTATGTTGAAACTCTTCTTATTTGTTTAACACTTAATATTTTAGTTTTATTTTTCTTAGAATGATATGGGAGGTCAAAGGAGCCTAATAAACAAGTGGACTACTTTTCTGAAAGCCAGGCTTGTGTGTTCGATACCAGGTCCTGAAGGAGCAGACACACATTTTGATGAGCTGCGTAAGTTGTTTTAACTTTAATGGTCTATTTTGACATCAGTATTTCTTGGGGTTTTTTTTTGTTGTTGTTGTTTGTTTGGTTGTTTTTTTGTAGAAGCACTACGTCTTGTTCTGATTTTACTCCTCTTCCAAACAGTGCTGGTAATATCTCTGACTTTTGTCAGAAGTCCCTGCTTACAACTGGAATTAGTCTGATCAGAAATATTTTCACTCCAAAAGCTGGAAAGTGAAAATCTGATTCTTTATTAAAACCAGAGTATCTGCAAATGGACAAACCTCAGCTTATTAGCACAAATTCACATGGCAGAAATTAAAATTCAGACAAAAATAGAGCTTTGTTATATATTTACAAATCTCCCAATTATAAATGGTAGTTGCAGAAATATTCAGTGGATGTTTAATTAAAAAGAAAAGTTTCTTTCCCATTGCAGAAGATATATTCTTACTTTCTACAAGAGATGAGAGAAACCCACTTGTATATGGAGTCTTCACTACAACAAGGTATGTGTTAGGATCATGTTTGCCTCTGGAAACAAATGCTGAAGATCTTACTCAGGCCTTTTATTAAACCCTTCTATTACTAGATCCTGATTCCCGAGAGCAGTGAGAGACTGCCTGAATAAGGCTCGCAATATTGGGGCTGTAGGCACTAAGGACACTATTTTCAGAAAATGAAATAATAAATTAAGTCCCTAAACATTTGTGTGCCTGATTTTTGAGAAAGATTGTAAAAAACAAAAAAAATCTAACAATCAAAATCTTGCTAGTTTCTTTCAACCTCATTTAGTTGAATTTACAAATTTCAATCATATTTATTGAACAATCAATAGTTACTATTCCAGACAAACCATTGTTGTGAAACATTATTTCTGTAAGCAACAACTTAGCATCAGCTGTTTCTTAGTATCAAAACCCACTATGCTCTAAAGTGATGTTTCAGTGTTTTTGTAGACAGGAGTTAATGGAAGAATAATCCGTCTTTATCTCAAGGGGATAGATTAATTAATGAATGAACCTCTCAGCTGCAGTAATGAGGCGCTCTATATAGAATTGTCAGAAATGAAATAAGTAATTCTTTCTTTTGTCTCTAGAACCTTTGAGTTAAGAGTAAATTATAAAGACTAGCCAAATGCTGGACAATATTAGTACAATGAAGAATTGCCAAGGCACTCCTGAACTCAGAAGCAGCCACCACAGTGGCTCCATAGAATATATAACCACATAAAATATTTAAAATTTAATGAAAAGTTGCATAATGAATGTAATGGCATATGAAGTAACTGAAGTACATGCCACTCAACAACCTGACATGGTGTTCTTTGGAAAACTGAACTGTTTGGGGTTTTTTTTGTTTGCTTGTTGTTTTTTTTTTTTTTTAGAAAAAATACATTAAAAAAAGGAAAAAAGACAGGAAAAGAAATAAATGTTTATTTCTATCTCTTTTTATTGTCTGTCCAATGCAACTTGTAATTTTCAGGCACATCACCTGTAATACCACTAATATAGTGACTACCAGATGTGAACACAATGTAAAGGAATGTCCTTCATTTGCAGAAAATTCTAATCAAAATAGCTAATTAATGATTGCTGGAAACTGTCAGCCACTAGAAAAAATGACAGTCTGTCAAGTCCCAAAGGCTAAGTCCAGATTTCAACAGAGCAAAGCTTTAAACTGTAATGACAGTGACATTAAATATCTGTGGTTATCAGACCTGTACACATTGTCATTTAGCACCACTTATATCAAATCTCAGGTGTAGGATAGATCCAAACCCCATCAGACTCTATAGAATTAATTCATTCACTGGATGGGGCACACACTGAAGAGGTGTTTACAACATGGTTATCAATCCATCTTCTTTTTCAGCTCTGTCTTCAAGGGCTCTGCAGTTTGTGTGTACAGCATGGCAGATATCAGAGCTGTTTTCAATGGCCCTTATGCTCACAAAGAGAGCGTGGATCATCGGTGGGTACAATACGAAGGCCGCATACCGTATCCCAGACCTGGTACAGTAAGTGTCTCCTTAATTACATACTTCTATTTTTAGCCAAAAGCAATCATACTTCACACCCCTCCCCAGATTGGTAATTTATATTTTCCATTCAGGATGTTTCAAATAATACTCTCAACCCTTTCCCTTCTGTTGACAGCTTCTACCTACCCCGTAGGTATATAAATATACGTTTTTCCATGTCTGAGATAACATTGTGTCCAGACTGTCTATTTCCTGATTGTCTCTCATATTGTGCTCTCCTACTGTACAGCTGTATTTCTATCTGTTGGGATCACTTCTGAGGCATCAACACTTCATAAAAAGCTGAAGGCATTTCTTTATGGAGTATTAAGTTATGATGAGGTATTTTATTTGAAGTCTTGTATTTCTGTTATCTTTGTGTCTGTTAAAATCCTGTTCCTTGAGATATGGTCATTGATTCTGTGTGTTTGTGCACGTGTTGTGTTTTGCAGTGAAGTAAGGAGTTAGTTGCTGGAGATTTTATGTGATGAAAGATAAGTGATAGGAAGAAAAGAGATATTTAATATCTGGAAACACTTCTAAATCTCAGTCTTTAAATGTTACAGATCTTCAGATGTAACAATCAGGCCAAAATGAAGAGGAAAATGTTGAAAGAGTTATTAAAGAATTATTCCCCCACTTCTGTCTTGGTATTAAATTTGGAAAAGAATTGACCTACATTACAGCTGAGGAAGAATATAGTATTCCCAAAAATGCGTCTACTTAAAAAAAGTCATCACAACTTTGAGCAACTCTTCATATGTAGAATGTTAAAGAGCAATGATTTAAGAGTAAGATAGATATTATCCAGGATATCTTTACATTATTTTGGTCAGGTATTCAGTGAACTGGTACTAGTCAGCTGTTTAAATCCAGCGAAGCACTGAGCTACTGAGGTTGGACTGCTGCTGGTGCCTGGCCTAGGAGCCATCTGGGTGTTTCTGCACTATTTCTCTGACATCAGCACTGCCGTAACTTTTGCTTCAAGCCACATTATCTAGCTTATTTAGTTCTTTTCACACATTTCGTTGTGTGTCTGGGTTTTCTTCATCGTCCTTCCAATGGACCCAATTGCATGGTCCAAGCCCGTGATGTTTGCTGCACTGGGTGGTCCCAGGCTTCTGCAGGTCAGGCCCTGAGCTCTCATTCCCTCCTCTCAACTGCAGGTGAGTCGCAGAGGGCAGCTTTCTTTATAAAGACAAAGGCAGCTCCAGAAATTGATTTTGCCTGCCTAGGATCTGTGCTGTTGGAGCAAATGCACTCCTAATTTAGATATTTCAGGCACTCTAGGCTTATGCATCACTCTCTCATTCAAAATATATGGTGTCCCCAGAAAAGTAGATTACTTTTTTTTTTTTTTTTTCCCCCTAAGCATGTGCAACTCCATTACTGGTTAAGAAGAGCAGACGCATTTAGTTTTAAGTACAAAAATGGTGCCAGTGAGAACAATAGCAAGTCCCATGGCATCTAAAAAGATTAAAATAACTCTCTTGAGAAACTCAGAGTGCCCCATAAGGATGAAGACTCTGCACAGATAGACGGGTCATAAGCTCATTGCATTTTTGAGTGTATTAGCCATCACGTGGTTGAGCTGGGATTCACAAGGAAGGAAACATGTCATGCTGAAGCATGTCAATGTTGATCTTTATCACTGATTTGAATATCCATGCTTGCAAGTTTTTTAAAAGTTGGAAAGTTTAAAGCTAAATGGTTATTTTCCATAACCACCCCTTAACTCTCCAACTGCTTTCTTTAAGCACCTGATAACAGTTGTGAGAAAATGGTCTCAAAAATCCTGAGGACCTTATACTACATGGATTTCTGTAGGAGTGTCTGACCAAGGACTGAAAGGGGAAGTGGATTTTACTGAAGAAATCTCTCGGAAGAAAGATATCTGTAATATTTGCTATGTAGATAAGGTAAATATAGTGCTGCATAGTTATTTATCTTTTGTCTTAGTGAGCTGGACTACTCTCAGACTTCAACATAGTTCAGCTCAGTTTAATACAGGGTATCCAAATAAGTAGATTCATGCCATGCTCTTATCTTATAATGGTCTATGCCAAACCTCTGGATATGAACAAATTTAGGCTGGGACCCGAAAAAGCCGCACAGTGCTCAAAGGCAGGGAAAAGAAGCAGCGTGCTACACCCCTGCAAACACTGCAGTGCGAACACCGACATGTTCTTCCTTAAAGATTAATTTCATCATTTCTTGACAGCTGTGGGGTGGTTCAGGAATGTTCAGAACAAAGCCAACAGGGATAATCTATCCTTTTTTAAGTTACTAGAACATTTTTGAAATTTAAGCTCTACCTAAATGTTGCCTACAGTTAGCATAGCCAGCACTGCACTGATTGTATATTTCTTATGCTTTAAGTTACTGGCAAAGTCTAAAAATGGCTATACTAGGAAATGTGTTTCCTTTGATGTTTGGCTTTGAGAGAAGCATTGACTTCCTTTAAGCATTTACACAGAAGCAGGAGACTGCTTACCCTAATTTAACTTTCTGTTCAGCTGCCTTTATCTCCTAAGTAAATAAAGCTGTTCGCTATGGAGGCTGTGACCACTTTGATATTGAAATTTTGACAAAATGCTTCCTGTGGCAATTTGTGTCAGAGATAAACTCCCAACATGACGATGATATCATGCCTTCGCAATGCCGGGCAGGCGGGAGGCAGGAACCCCTGCCTGCACAGGGTCCCGGCTCTGCGGCGGGGTCCGCCTGCCCTCTGCCGTCCTTGGAACACCCCGAACAGGGGGACTGGGCATCTCCAGCACGCTCCACACCATTGAGTCTGCAAAATGTATAGCTCTTTTAACTTCTCCTGGTGGTGCTAAAGAGCAAGTGGAAATAATGGGAATTAAACAGAGGCAAGGCTTCAAATCTATTTCAGTTTTGAAGCTGAAAAGAAAAAGAGACAGTAAAACCATGCAGCAGGCAACCCCACCACAAAGGGCGGTCTGAAAACCAAGGGAGCTTCTGCTCTGTCTTCTTTAGCTGTTCAAAAATTGGACTTGTATGTCGGCAGCTGTCCCCAGATAACAAATCCAGTTTTCTTCCAGTCTCTTAGGGTTTCATCCAGGAAATTATCCATCGATAAAGAAATCATCAAGGACTTTCCTTAAAGTGTGCTCTGTATTCTGAGACAGTTTGCATAATGCCCTCCCAGTAGTCACAGAAGGCATTTGAACAAGATTTTCAGTGAATTAGGAAGAAAAAGCCCAAACATTTCTAGTCTAATTATTTAGCTATAAACATTGTGGTAACAGAGCAACTCACAGTGCCCATTTGGAAATTCTGATGGGATACGAAAGAGTCATCCTTATTTCGTTGATGGTGAGTAAATGTCATTCAGGTCAGATTTTTAGAGAAGTGTCAGTGTTTAAATATGCAGATTAACACTTAGTCTAATCAGCTGCAGTACCTAGGACTCTAACTTCTGTCCGAGGCAATACCAAATATTTTTGATGGATCTGGGTTTTTTTTGCTAACTGACTTGCCAAAAGTTTAAAACAAAGCTCTGGATCAGCAAAGTAAGATTCCAGCAGGCTAATTCACTTCTTAGCTACAAGAAGAAACAGTCCAGAATGTTGCTTTTGTCCATTTGAAGAGTTTTGTGTCTCACCTCTTCCCCACTTTAGATCTGAATATGGCCCTGAGCTCTTTAATTCTTTGTGTATTTTTTTTAAAAACGAGTTCCCTTACAAGCCCTCAGCTTCTCCTGTGATCTTTTCTATCTTTTTATTTCCGTATTGCTTTTTCTCCCTTTCTTCAGTGAAACCCTTTCCTTTGTTTCTTTTGCTAATCCAGTGCACAGGCAGATTGAGATGTGTTGTCCATCCCATGGGGACTTGGCTGAGCCACAGAGAAATACTGTCTGCCAAGAAACCTCCCCCTGTCCACCCGTCTGGTTAGTTTTGCTGCTTTAATAAGTGTGTTCATAAAACACTGAGGGTTGCACAGGTTTCCCTTGTTATTTTTAGGCTTATCTTCCTCTTTCACCTGATCTTTTATGGGATAGACTGCATTCATTGCTTCTCCTATTTCTCTCTCCTTTGATCTCTCCACTGTAAATGGGGCTGCTTAATTAAGTGAAATGTTTCACTTTCTGTTTTGGGTTTTTTTTCCTTAGAACACCTCCTCCACCTCCTCTTACTTACCAACCTGTTTTCCCCAACATGAATCACCTTTCAATTTCTTTCGAAACTGCGAACACAGTCACCTTTCCCACTGGCAGAGGTCGGCAGAGAATTGCAAAGTGCCACCTGAGAAGTCAAGTTCAGTCACCTCGCTGGTCTCAGCCCAGTTAGCCTCAGATTAATGCTCGCTTATGTCAGCCTTTTCTATCAGCAACACAAGTGTGTTAAATAGAAAAGTGATACAAAGCACTCAATACAAACACTGGAACAGAGTAGAACAGATCTTGCACATCCAGTGGGAGGCAAACTCTATCTTAAAAAACAAATATGGAGGCTTCAATTTATTTGTAGGGAATTTTTTGTTTGTTTTGTTTGTGCTTTGTGTGGCAGGCGTGGTGTGAGGTTGATTGCATTTAAAATGTGTGCTGTTTGTCTCCTGCAGAACCTGACTCGTTTCCCTCTCCCTTGCCCTCTTCCAAGCTTGCTCTGAGTAGCTGCAAGGTTAGAGTGAAAGTCTCCCTACTGAGTGTCTGGTCCTTCTGGCACAACCCATCCACCCTGTAGAGAAGCACTAAGGGTTTTTGCGGGCATGTCCAAATGCAAAATGTGCAGCTCTGATCAGACTACAGAGAAGAAGCCACATGGTCTTTAAGCCGCTCAGGAACTCAGGTTTCATCTTCAGAATGGCTTATGGTTGAATCTCCAGTGACACATAACTGCCTAAGCCCTGAGAGTCATCTCTCATCTGTCATCTAATCCACAGAAGATCATAAGCCTATACATACCCCATTTTCTAAAGTACTTGCTGGCATCTTGGAAGCTCACACCAGTCCTTAGTGTTACATCTTAACCCCT